AGCCTTGACTAGCTTGAATTCACTGTGTAGCCCAAGCTGGCCTTGATCTCACATCCATCCTCCTGCCTTGGCCTCCCAAGTGCTGGGACTATAAGCTTGTGCCACCATGCCTGGCTCAAAACAATAATTTTAAAATTATAATTTCCCTGTTTCTTTTTTACTTATATTTTTGTTCTATCAGTAGAGTGGGTGATGAACATGCACTAGGCCTGGCTTTGATTCCTAGCATCAAATCAAACCAAACAAACCTATTTTGATGAGTTTTTGCCTATTCTACCATGAGCCTGCCTCAAATTTTTACATTATTGTTCTAACACAGCTCTTGAGTAAGTAAAGACATTTCAATTCTATATCTTAGCAACTTTTCCTTTATATGGCCAAGAGCAATGCAGTTAAAAATAGAACAGTGTGATTTATCTGACTGAAATTTTGAGTAGGATGTCTTTATACACATTTCTGTTATTCATTCAACTACTGAATATCACCTATTGGATAGTTGTTTAGCGTTATGGTTATATACCATAGTGCTTTACAGGTGGACTTGGTTTGACTTATAGCCCTCTCACTTACTAGATCTGTGTGAAGGGACTTTTCTAATCCTTAGTCTTATTTTCCATGTCATGAAACTGATACAAGACTCACCACGTAGCACTGTGGTAAGGACTAATAATTCATGTAAAGGCCCAGGGATAGAATAAGTGCTCAGTAAAGTTTGTTGATTGTAACAAAGCAGCAGCGGCAAGAAGACCATGGACCAGATACCCTGCTGGGCACTGTGTATTCAACAAAGAACAAGAGAGGCAAAGAACCCCAGCCTTCATCTGGCAGACAGGTAAGGTAAGCAGACAAGATATTAACCTCTAACATTAGGGTAACGTAGGTTTTACAGAAACTGTATCACTGCCAAGGAGAGCAAAGTCAAGAAGTTCCCATCAAGTATCCTGGAAGGAAATACCATCACAACACCTAGAACTGTATCACTGTAAATTGCTGGGTACCACCACCAGACTAAGTCTCCTGAAGGCAAAGGTGCCATGGGCTCCATTCAGTGTACAGCAAGCACTTAACGTGGCACCTGTCATATAAGAGAGATTCAGTGGGCGGATGGACAGGGAAGGAGTGAAGGGACTCTCGAAGAGGTTAAGTTTTCCCGACAAGGGTGAGAGTGTTACGGTACAGATCTGAACTGTCCCCGCAAAGCCTCATATGTCTGAAAGCTGATTGGATTATGAGAGTGTTGTAGTTGCCCATGGATTGGTCCACTGATGGGTTCATAGTGGACTTGCTATCGGAAGACTGGAGTCTGCTCTGAGGAGGCAGGCCACTGGGGTGTGACGTGGAAGGGTGCATCTCCCTCAATTCCTCCTCTCTGCTTCAGGGCCACTGTGATGTGAGCTGCTTCCTTCCACCCTGGCACTTCTGCCATGCTGTTTCGGCTTTGAAGCCAGCCTCCCATGCACTGTAACCGTGAGCCAAAATAAAACCTCCCCTCCTGTAAGTCGTGGTTGTCGAGTATTTTCTCCTACTAATAAGGAAATGATTAAGACAGGGTGCTCCAGCCAGAAGAAAATATATGCATGATAACTGAAGTTAAAGTCACGGCAAGTGAGGAGGGGTGAGATGCAGGGAGGCAGGGAAGTATGCATACAAAGATGTCACCAGAAAAGGCAGGTGCCAATCAAGGAGAGCCTAAGTCATGGTAAGGAGTCTGAACTCAATGCTAAAGATTCCCAGGTAACTATTAAGGATTTTTAATCAAAGAAAGATTTAACCGTGTGTTTTTAAAAGTCCATTCTTTTTTTTTTTTTTTTTTTGGTTTTTCTCCGGTACCGGGAACTGAACTCACGACCTTGCGCTTGCCAGGCAGGCGCTTTTGCCGCTGAGCTAAATCCCCAGCCCCTAAAAGTCCATTCTTTATTCTGAAAATACATCAATAATTCAAGTTCAGCTTTTTAAAATACAAATTATAAATTTCACCAGAGATAATTACCATTTGACCATGAATAACAATTTGTCTGTTACCTATTGTTGTGCAACAAACCACCCCAAAATCTACTGGCTTAAAACAGTGGCTTCTTATCTCTCCTGAGTCTGTGGGATGAGCTGTACGGCTCCTCCACTGTGGTGCAGCTGAGGATATAGAAGCATTCAGCTGGGAGCACATCTCAGCCTCTCTCCCTTTGGCCTCTTGTCTGGAGCTCTTTTGTAGCACAATGGCTGGCTTCCAGGGAAGGCAAAGGGCTACTACTGCTAATCCTCTTAAAGCCTAGTCTTGAACATGTACCTAATTTCTTCCACTTTTATAGGCAGTCAATCACAAAAACAGCCAAAATTCAAGGGAAACACAATTCTACTAATTGATGGGAAGAGCAGCAACTATACCAAGGATGGAAAGACTTACTGGCTGCCAAATTGATAAACTACCAATCTGTCTTCCTACACAGATAGTCATTGACCATTTGTGGTACTAAATAATTAGAAAAATGGAGCAGAAAAGTGACAAATGTGAGTATAGTATTGTTATGGCTGATACACTGTGTCAACTTGGGGAGTCTAGAGGTTTGGCTAAGTGACTCAGAAGGAAGCCAGGGTGCTTACTTTGTATACACCCAGAGCCTGTGCAAGAGGAGGGCATGGAGATTATGTGAGAGCTACACGCCCCTTAGGTGAGGGTAGCCTGTTTACAATGTAAGGGAGGGAAAGAAGCTGCTTGCCGCGATTCCTCCCTTTTGCTCTGGCTGCTTTGCTGTTCGGCTGCCATTCCCCCCTTTGGTCTTGTTGCTTTGCTGTGTTCTGCCGCCATGAACATTTGCCCTCTGCCATGTGCCACTCTGCCCCATCCAGCCAAGTATGGACTGAAACCTCCACAAACTGTAAGCTAAATAAACCTTTCCTTCCTTCATTTTGGGCATTGGGTATTTTGTCTCAGCAAGGACAGAAAAGTACCAAGACAAGTATCTTAACATAAAATCTAGGTGGACTGTATAAAGTGACAATTTACACATGTGGTGGGAGAGATGGGATGTAGGAGCTGGAATGAAGAAAAAAGGCAGAGGCTAGACCCAAAAAATGGTTAAAATTATGTCTTTAGCAAATGCCTCTCTAGTTAACTTGAGTATTAGCTCTGGGTGTGACAAATAATTAAGACTTTATTTGTCCAACCTCATTTCCTAGAGATAAGATGTCAAATGGAGAAATGGGGTCAAGAGGGTGGAGACCAAGGGCCCTGGCACAACACTCCACCATGCACGGCAGCAGGAACTGCAAAGCAGACCCACCACATCCTAAGAAGTAACACCATCAAAACCAGGCAACTAAATCTTTTATGAAGTTACTGTTCATCCTATCTGGCAAGCATGAAGCCAAATTCCTTCTCACCCTCTAACTGGAATGGGTTGGATGCCTGAGTCTACACTTTATTCACCTCAGTCATAGGAAAAAGGAGGGCATCACCCAATTCCCCGACTTGTCAGTCTCGTAACAGTGTCTAAAGAAAGAAGTCTCTCTCAATCTCTTCCTCTTTTTCATCTCCACTCTTTGCCATTGCTCAGTCTATCACCTCTTGGGTTTTTGTAGAACTTGTTACTTGTCTGCATTCTACATCTCTATATTCCTGTCCATCTTCTATATAGCTGCCAGAGTTATTTGTTTTTTGTTTTCTTTTTTAGTTCTAGGAAATGGCAAACAAATACAAGTTAGAGAAGGTGCAGATTAGAAAGACTTGTACACCATGTATTTTCTCCTGATGTCAGTAGGACCTATTTTTTCAAGACAGTCAAAATTTGCATACTGTCAAAGGCTATGTAGATAGCAAGATAGAGATCAGGAGAAAGCCTGGAATGAGACCTGAGATACTTAAGTAACCATACTAATACAGAATGTAACACGGGTCTAACCCAAGACACGGGCAGAATAAATGGAAACTGAGGAAACAGATATAGACAAAATTATGATCAAGCTGGTGATCTTCCAGTAAACAGGCTGCAGGAGCTAGGGATTCTCACCTAAGGTAATGACTAAGTAAATGTCTTCTTCATCAAGATAAGATACAGGAAAAACAAGTTTAGAAAGTAATCACAACATCCAAGTAGAATGGCCAGTTTTGAATAAACAGATGGGGAGCTCAGGAATGAGGTCTAGACTAAATACACTAAAAAACAGATGAAGCAGCCATGGACAGATTCACCCAGGAAGATCATCTAAAATACTTGCTTGGAAGAACTGGAGTCGTAAGATTTCAAAAGCCACAAATGAATTTTACATCTTAAATCAAAACTTGCAATCAGAATGTATTGCCCACCACCAAAACTGAGGAGGGGGAATCCTCAAGCATTCTCCACTGGGACGTTAGGAAAACATGCCCTTATCTTCAGGGAGCAAGAAGTATTACATGAAAACTATCTTTGGTACACTTGATTTTCTAACCAACTAGTGAAAACAAATGTCCACAAAAACACTGATGGGATACTTGTGCGAAAACATCATTTGCAAAACAAACAGACTTAAAAGAGATCCAGAGACAAGAGACTGATGAGGCTCCATCACCTTTAGAAGCCCATGTTTATCCAAGTCATAAATAGAATTTGATTTGTCCCCAGAAAAATTGTACAGCTCTGCCAATCCAGACATTTCGGCCTCTTTGATACCTGTTGCCTTTCCCTATAAATTAACAGACATTCAGGTTAATACACCAGTCTCTGAAAGCTTGCTTACTATAGAGTCCATCCCAGAAAGAGGTCAATTCTCCAGTGACAGATCATTTTCAGTATTTCCAAGGCTAAGGGCCAAACTATGGAGAGGAACTGTTGCTTGGAGAACTTCTGGTAGTCAGAAGGCTAACCCGAGAGGCACTTCAGCTGCATTTCAAGCCTTCTCACTGAAATAGAGCAAGCTGAGCTGGAGGTGCAGCTCAGCAGTGGAGACCCTGCCAAGCATGCACAAATCCCTGGGTTTGATTCCCGGAACCACACACACAAAAAAAAAATATTGAAAGTATATACTTACAAGCAAAGAGAATTCATCAGTTTTTTATTTTGAATTGTCACCTATTATCACTTCAAAAAGGCCCACCCTCAAAAACATCAAATGGTTGCCGACTTACCAGTAAAACAGTAAGTCATCAATGTCTGATTCTAATACTGGATACACAATAAATTATATTTACATGCAACGACTACACTATCACACAGTAAAAAAATACAGTATTTTATGTACATTTTTAAAGATTTACATTTCATATACAGTTTATAAAGTTAAAAATTCTCTAAACAAAACCTTATGTGTACAGAGTTTATATATCCCCATTTATGGCTGTGTCACCACAGATTTGCTTAAAACCGTTAATACTACAAATACTTCAGTTCTTTTTACTTCATATTCAAGAGTCTTGGCACCCATACACTAATACACATTATTTTTGAAATGTGAATTACAAAGGAAATAAAATGTAATCATGCAGATTTTTTTATATAAGAAAATCAGGTAAAATATGCTACTAAATCAACATTTATAAATTCCACAGTTCCCTAGTTCTGTTTAACTTCCTGTACTGCTTTCATACAGGTGCATGCAAAACTAATAGATCATGAACTTTTTAAATAACATTAAAATACTAGAGTCTGACAATACTTAGACAATAGGAACAAAACCATCTACTTGCCCTAGCCTGACAATTATTTCTGCTTCAGCAGAAACTTCAATTAAGACACTACACACTAAATTCACAGAGATGTCATTATTGTAATTCCTAAATACATGGGATCTGCATCAGATAGTACACTGATCATTTAAAGAACAAAATGAGTGTCTGACATTGAAGAGTACTGTAAAATCTGTTGAGAATGGGGGAGGAAATCTAAGATAAACCATTAACGGATTATCCATCGTCCCTGTAAGGAAGCACTTCAGCAGCGCCCCATGTGCTGAATAAAGACACCTGAAGGCTTTATAAAGTTTAAGATAAGCTACACTATTCATCTTTAAAAATCTTGAAAAGTTAACAAAGGTATCATCAGCACCTTCCCTTCTCTCCCAAGTAGCTAAAGATCAACAAGAAAAATAAAGTGCCAATGTCTAAAGTATTGTTAACTGTTTAAGAGGCACTAACCCATTTGATGGCTTAGGATTAAGTATGAAAATAGGCCAGATCTGATCTGATAATAAATAGAAGGTAGGTATTCCAGTCTATGTAATTCCTGCTAGGTGGGGGCTATACCAGAAAACTACCTACTCCCCCGTTTATTGCTTTGAAACCAGTACATATACTTTACATTCTGACATGGGACAATCAGAGCTCTAAGATGGAAAACACAGTGTCTGTGCCACTTTGAAGTCAAAAAAGAAGGAGCATTCTTGATCACTGGGAGGAGAGCTGCTGAGGGTCTCTTCCCCACAACTCATATCTTCACAAGAATCTTCACTGCATGGGAAAGAGGAACAAAAAAGAGGGTTCTCGTTACTTACAATGCACAGAGGTTTTACATGCAACATGAAACTAAACCTGCTGGAGTCTACCAGTATCACTCTATTCTTAAATTTCTGTATTCAAGAGTTAATCTCTATTTCATATGGACAAATTGCTTTTATAGACTTCCAAAAGTGAAGTCTATTGTACTTTTATTACAAAATTCAGATTTTTAAGAGGTTTACACAAATTACAATTTACCAAACTACTCTTGCACCAATTAACTCTAGCAGCAAACTGCAGAAATCTAAGTAGTTTAAATGCAAGCTAAAGACAACATATCTCCTAGCCCATGGTCTACCAAAATGTCTTTCTTGTATTAGTAATTTTATCATTGACCTTCTCAGATACCCAAGCAAGAAACTAACAAGCTACAAAAATGGAATTTCTGATCCTCTACCTGAAGAGCGTAAGACAATTCAATTTAGTAAAATTGAATAATTCACTTTACAAACTAAATCACTAATGTCTGAAAGGACAATGACATCTGACAAAACCATTATCAGCATCTGAGTCTGGTTCTCCACGTTTCTGTCACCTGCCCCACAGCACATTAGAAATTCTAGCGAACCTACAAGGCCCTGAATGCTGTTTCCGTCTTAGTTTTTTTTTGTTTTTTTGAGATGGTCTCCCTACTTAGTTCAGGTTGGGCTCAAACTCACAGCGATCCTCCTGCCTCAGCCTCCCAAGTGCCAGGATTACAGGGGTGCGCCACCATGCACAGCTCTTGTTTTTTTAATTGAACCATATTTCAAAGACCAAGGGAAATGAGGAGACAGACAAAAGCGGTGAACATGTAAGTCATTATAGACCAAGGGAAATGAGACAGACAAAACCAGGGAACATGTAAGTCATTATCTACTGTAATGAAACTCCTGCTGGTTAAGTCACCCACATGTCCACAGGAGAATGACATTCTCCAATGCCTTATTTTACAGTATTCCACAGTTCCTATTTGTGTATAAACCTGTTTACCTTTCACTTCCATCAAAACAGCCCCCCTCAGGGATTGTTGGCAGTTCGGGAACACTGTAGTAGCTGCTGTGGAGGTTCTGGGCTGTGCGCCTTGAAACAATCCAAACCAACTTCTTAAGATCTGGCTTGCAACACTCCGGCGAAGAATATTCAGCTAGGCATTTAGAAACTAACTCCCTCCAATAAAAGAACTCGGAATCATTAATCTGAGGGAAAAAAAAAAGGTAGTAAGTTATGGCCAATAGTTCTCAAAGCTTGGTGCACCTTTGAATCACCACATGACCTGCAAAACACACTGATGGCTAGCTCCCACTTTGTTTTAATTGGTAAGAGTACAACTCAGGTTTCACAAGTTTTTAAGTTCTTCAGATGACTGTCATGTGTAGTGCAGCCACAAGTTAGGCCCTATCAGTTTAGAGGGCAGTGTTATAATTTATACTGGATGCAATACACAGAAAAGACTGATGATTGTAAGAGAAAACACCCACTGACACTAGGTCTGTTATTAAATCAACTACCAAATATATTCTCTAATTGTCCAGATTCAAAATAATTTAACATATCCTATGTTACAGAAATAAAAGTGCTATTTAGATTGCTAAAAACATAAACTTATATTGTAATACCAGTTAAAGACTAAAGGAGTAGCAGCGTGAGAGAAAAGGAAATCCCCAAAAGGACATGGTAGTTCCTCCACCCTAGGGAATGCCCTAGTTTATTTCAAGGAGTCAATTTTCACCAAAGATGCTTCCACGTATCACTATCAGTAAACAGTTCAAGTGAAAACAAAATTGCTATTAAAACAAAAGCTGTAAGCTACCAACAAAATTTTTCCTACCCCATCCACATCTGCCACAGATGATTTTTGTATCATCTTGACTTCCATTTCTAGATTCCATCTGTATCTTAACACCTGGTAATGTGGCTTCTAACACTCCTTTTCAATCACCTCTGAGGTGCCAGGTGTGGTGGTGCACACCTGTAACCCCGGCACTCAGAAGGCTGAGGCAGGAGGATCATTCCAAGTTCTCGACCAGCCTAGGCTACAAAGTGAGCTCAAGGTGATCCTGAACTGCATAGTGAAACCCTGTCTCAAAAAAAAGAAAAATCAATCACCTCTGAGGTATCCAATGACATCCTGCAGTTTTCACTGTACTGAACCTCTCATCAAAATTCAGTAATCCTGGCAGCCTCCTTCTTAAAACCAGTTTCCAACTTAACAGCATTTTTGCCTATCTATATAGAATTTACTTGGCCCCTATGGGAAACAAGTCCAATGCTGAAAAAGCCAGAGCTTGAACTGACCCCTAAGCATAGGACTCCACAAGTTCTTATGGTTTCAGTAGTCACTTCCTAATGAGAAATTCTAAACTTCAACTTCTAACTATGTTTTACCTTCTGCATTTTTATTACAGACTGCCAAATACTTGAACAACATCACCTGCCTGGGTACACAAGCATCTAAAATCATACCTTTTTCAACACAAATTAACTTCTCCTGAGTTGCTTTCAGTGACGCCAGTATTCTCTCCATCACTGAGTCCAAAATTGGTCGTTCATGATGCCTTGCACCATTCTCATGCTTGCCTTCCAAAATTATTTGAGTTAGACACCCTTATTTCTGCTTATGACTACTACCTAGCATCCTATCTGAAAGCCTATCCTAAAATGACTTGACAAATCTGCCTTGCCCATCAATTTCTTTTTTATTTTCTGTACTACTGGGGATTGAGCCCAGGGCCTTTGTACTGAGCTACATCCCCAGAACTTTTTTCATTTCTGAGATAGGGTCTTAACTAAGTTGCTACATCGCTAAGACTGGGCTCAAACTCGATCCTCCTATCCTCCTGCTTCGGCCTCCCAGACTGCTGGGATTACAGACCTGTACCACACCCAGCCATAGCCACCAACTTCTTCCCAATCTCCACTTTTAAAGGTCGCTGAACTCCAACCTCTTTGCCTCTCTTGGCCTGCCCTACTTCTTTGCTAACCCCGAAGTGCTTCCCATGTTCACTATTCTCCGGCACTGAGCACAGCAGTGAGTAACAGGACCTACCACATGTTAAATTTCACGTTTCACCCTTAGACTGTTAGCTTAAGAAAAAGGGCTATACTCATATTTTATACCTTTTTATGGCTGCAAAGACTTACTGGGCTGGCCTTCCTAGAAGGCTTACATAAAGAAACACTGCTATTATTTTGGTCACTACTACTGGTAATGTGAGGATTATTCAGTCCCATAGATATGATGGGATGCCACCTTATCCCTTTAGGGTATGTATCGAGTCTATCCCCCAGCATGCATTTTAGGGCTATGTCCATACGGCAGTGTACACAGCTGGATTACCATCTGGCATGAACACTGCAGAAGGGACACCAACATGTAGAAAGACGCTGGGCTAAGTGACAGAGTTCCCTTCACCTTCAGTGTGTCTGGGTCAAAGCTAAATTTTGAGAACTGTAACACTTTAGACACACACACACACACAGAATTTAAAAGATGACAATCTCATCCAATGTTACTTAATGTTAAGTAACAGAAAAAATTGAGTCATCGGGAAAGAAACTTGGTTTAAAGAATAAGGAATGAAGATATTTACCTTGGAATGTTTTTTAACAAATAAGACAATTTCCAGTAATTCAACGGATTTTAAAGTTTCTATTTCCAAATTGAGAAGGCACAAAGCTAACACAGATGGCTACCAAAAAAAAGAGAAAAAAAGAAATAAATTTTTTTTAAAATTCAAAACAAACTGTGAGACATACATAAACAAGAAAGAGACCTACTTTTGCTTTTGAAAAGATAAGTCGGCAGTTGCAAGCTTTCAACTGAGCTTCTAGTTTATCAAGGTTCAGTATTTCTTTCCTATATAATACAAAGACAAGGCAAAGACTTAAACAATTTTGAAGACTCACCACTGAAAGTCCCCGCTGAAAGACAAAGTAAAAACATAAATCGCACTGACATTTACTGTTACTTATAGCTACCCTCAAGTACAAAACTTTTATATTTAATCCCACTGACCTTTCTGAAGTATGACAAAATACAATAGTGTGGTATAAGTGCAAAAAGTTTAAGGCAGTAGTAGCTTCCAATTCATAGTGCAATTTTTCTGAAATTATTTTTTCCATCCGTTTTATGTCAGAAGCAGTACATTTACACTGACTAATGCGGATCACATCATGAATGGACGGGATATTGCATTCTTCTTCCACTATTCTAGCAGCCAGCAAAAAACAACAGACTCCAATGCAAGACAAATGCTTAGGTTTCACCTGAAAAAAACAACAGAAGGATTCTTGTAACAACTGTTACTCAGTTTGAGCAAAGCAGCTCAAAAAAATATTGTAATGAAGCCCCTACACTTAAGACAGAACACAATCAAGCTATTTCTCATATATGTGTTTGTCTTCATCCACAATTACATGCACTTTTTCACCACAGATCTTCTTGATTTCCCTTAAACAAAAAAGGCTATGTTAGCCTTTAAATTATTTAACTCTAATATGCAGGCTAAAAAAAATTCAATGCAGGTTCAAAAGCTAGATTTCTAGCCAAGTTTTATACTTTTTGTATTTCAGACTTACAAAATTAGAAATAGTATGATCTCTCTCAAAACAATTTGTCCTTCAACACCAAAAATCATTCTGCACAAAAAAACAGCACTTCCTACACATTTCCTCTGCAGAAACCCGCACTTTAATGTGATGCTGCCCAAGGGAAACCCTGCATGTCTGTGCAGCCTTGTGGGACACAGGCGGAGCGGCCAGACAGATGGCTGCCCTTTCTTCTCAGTGCCCCAGCACTGACCCCACAGCTGACAGCGATCCTACTGGCACAAGAGCTACCACATTTTTCTAATAGTTGCTGGTGATTGTTAGTAAGACTGTGGCTCCCTGCTTTGAAAAGACAGGCAAGGCAGTGAGTCACCTTTAATATAGTTGTGTACTTCATTTGTCAAGTTTCAGTGTTAAAAACAGCTACGCTCCAACTGAAACACAACAAATAAAAATTTTATTTTCGCAGATTGCATACATAGTACCAAGAACCTAAACAACAGTACTCTTCCTTTTGTCATATCTTCCAAGAGAAATATTTAAGAGGCACGACAAAACCCTACTTAACATATAAAATATACTTAATTTTGTAGTCTGAGTCTGGTTCTATGCATCACAACTCCGTTTATTGTAAAGGTTTATAATAAAACAGGCTGTATTACACTCCCTTGATATTTATTTATTGAACCTTATGTATAGGGACTGGGCATAGAAAAATGAAAATGTACTTTAAAAAATGATTAAATACCTTCATAAGAGCTAGAAATCTGTCCAAAATATTGACAGCCAGGACAAATGTTTCAGTGCAAGATCCAAAAAAGTTAGTTAAACTTCTTAAATCTTCTACTTTGGCGTTTCTCAATCTTGAACACAAAGCATTATCACTCTGCAACAAAAACCGTTAAGTGTTTCGTTCTCTTAGAACTAGATGAATCATACACAAATGTAAGGAATAAAGTGTCCCTCCCTCCCCCGCCCCGACTTTCAACAGTATGGGAGGAGAGTGCTATCAGTTAACCAAGGCTAGACATCTTACCAGACATAAAATGTAAATCATTGCTTTTTAAACATACACATCCTGGAAGAGATTTAACGGTTCACTGTAAGATGAACATTTGCCATATTTCAGAGAGTTATAGCAAATACAGCCTAACTCGACTTCCCTGAAATAGAGTTCATAGTTTTTATTTTTCTAAAATCATTTAAGATTCTACTCTAAGTACTTCAGAAGCAGAGGCCAGGAAATAAACTGGTCAATTCCCTCCAAGTCTCCCACCCAGCAGCTGCAAGTTAGGACGCCTGCGTTTGAAGAAACATCTCTCTATACATATTATTTCCGTTCCTGCTAAAACAGCACAGCCGTGTACAGCACTGAGCTTATATTGTTGTCCATAAAGTTTAATTTTGGTATTCTGAGATTTTGCAGATTTTAGTCTTGATTCAACTGGGGGGTGAGGGGCGCCTCCTCGGACAGCTCAGGCGATGGAGCAAATCACCTTGTCTGCAACTCACCTCTGGGGTAGCCTCGATCAAGCTCAGCCCTTTTTCTCGAGGTTGGAATCTCTGTTCCTGTTCTAGATAGAAGCTCAACAATCCGAGAAGCTGGAGTCCTTCAGGACCTGCCAAGTACTCCGGCCCCAAATCCTTCATCTGCGGCAAAAACAGACAAACGGTCAGGAGGTGACAGGAGCGACAGGGAGGGAGTAGGGTACAAACGAGCTGGGGACAATACCTCCAGCGAGGGGCGCCCCAGCACACCCCGGCGAGGGGCGGGTGAGGGGAGCCCTCACGTCCGCCCCAGTCCCACCGGACCCTCCCCACCGCCGAGGAGGTGTGGCAGGGGGCGGGCCCGGGCACGTCCGCCAGCGGGCGCTGGCTCCAACCCGCCAGCCCCGGCCGAAGGCGGATCACCAACTCGGGGAGCCACGGTCGGCCGCCCCTCCGAGCCGCGCGGGAAGGGAGGAGCTTCTGCCCCATGGGCAGTGAAGGCCCTGGGGGAGCGCAGCACAACAGCGGGAAGGGGAGAAAAAGTCTCCGAGGGAACAAAGAACGGGCAGGAGCAGACCCGGAGCCCCGCCCCGCGGGGGAGTCCGGCCCCCAGGATCCCCCTCCGCTTCTAAGTCCGAGGGGCAGACGCCCCCATCCGGTCAACCGGGGACCCAGAGCGCAGTCATTGCAGCCCCCCGCACCCCACCATCACCGAGGCCCGGAGCTGCCCCCGGTGCGGACCCGAACAGTGCGAGCACCTCGCCGGGGCCGCCGCCGAGGGCGGACCCCGGTCTCCAACCGCGGCTCCCGGTCGCCTCGCTGGGCGTCCCTGCCT